GGCTGCTCAGCTCGGGCCGGGACTTGAACCGCTGTTGCTCAGAGCTCAAACTCTTGAGCGAGCTCTTAACCAACTGAGCCACTCAGCCGGCCCTGGATAAGCGTCTCTTGACTGATATGAAGACAAGTTACCTTTGCCAGCAGTGGGCATGCATAACGTGTCCGCAGCTACCAGTGTGTGTTCCGCAAGCCAGGTTAGGGTGCATGAACAATGGGTCGTATTTGTCTGCATTATAAAACAAACAAACAAAACAAAACAAAACACTAAGCATTTAATTTCCTACAACGAATGGACAACTTTAAATTGTGAAATCCTGGATAAGGGCGTGTAAACTTGAAATGAAATGCTAGTTTATTCATTTCCTTTGAGATAGAATGATTTATGCAAGAGCTTGGATGATTTAGAAAGAAGGACCCTTTTTCATCACCCTGAGCAAATAAAACATCCCTGAATTATTAACTGAAATTGAAACTCTGTATTTAAGTACATCTTTTGAACATTCACGCTTTCAGGGCACCAAGACACTCCTATTCCCACCAAAAGCCCCAAGGTTGGTAAAATAGATATTCTTCATGGGTCTGCATTTAATACCTCAAGGCAGCTGGGTTACAATGATCTCTAACAAAAAAGATGTTCTGGCAGTCATGGGGCGCTCCCTAGAGGAGATTCTGCCTAACAACATTCATGCAGAAAGTAACAATCACTGTACAGAGCCAGCCAAAGTGGCAGCCAAATACCCAGACAGCAGCCCAGACAGAGAGGGGGCGGGGGCAAATCAGGTAGTCTTTCTGTTCTGGTGCTAATTTTTTATATTTAAAGGAAATGACAAGTTAAGACACCCATAAGATGGGTGCCCAGTTTCTTCAGGAATTTTCTGAGTTCTCGGTATAAATTAGAATTAGTATCATCTTAGAAATCCCCTAACATTCTAGAAAAAAATTACTCAAGTTTCAATTTGCTTTGTACAACAGTGAAAATGTCACAGCATAAAGAAAATCTAATTACAGTCAGCTGAACATTTTTCTTCATGAAATGACAAAGTCACCTTGGGAACTTTATCTTCAGCCTGGAATGAAATTTATAAATCACCTAGTTCAAATGATCATTTTTTTTTTTTTTAGCTGAGCCATCCTGCCACCGGTTGGCAACTCAGCGGCAGCTCAGCTCAGGCCATGAATCAAACCGGGGACCCTGTTGCTCAGAGCTCAAACTCTTGAGCGAGCTCTTAACCGACTGAGCCACTCGGCCAGCCCTCAAATGATCATTTTTAAAGATGAACCAGACCAGCCTTTCTTAACTAGGTAAGTGCTTGAGAGTCATACTGTGCAGACTTTCCTTACAGAGAAAAGGCAATCTTATCAGTAGATTTGCAAACTTCCTTTCAATACTACTGTGTGAAAGGCACTACCTAAATAAGTGGTTTGGAAATTCTTAAGACACAGTTCCTGGTTTCCTGGATGTCTAGAAGTTTTACTGGTATTCTGGATGTCCATCAACGGATAGATGCATAAAGAAGATGTTACACACACGTACAGTAGAATATTACTTAGCCATAAGAAAGAATAAAATCTAGCCATGTGCAAATGGATGGACCTAGAGGGTACTGTACTGAGGGGAGTAAGTCAGACAGAGAAAGACTAATGCCACATGATTTCATTTATATGTGGAATTTAAAGAACAAAATAAATGAACTAAAAAAAAAGTTTACTGTTATCGTTGAGGCACACGCACAAGTCTGAGGGTAGAAACATAAAAGTGTTTGCACTCAATAATATGCAGCCTAGATGCCCCTGCAGGAATGAATGATTTACTTCTTCAGCTGTTGGAAGAAGCACTCAACTGTCACTCCTCGTTAAGGGATGACTGTTTTGCTCAAGGTCACACCTTTTTTCAGAGGTCCCTCACAACCAATCACTGATGAGTGTCCAGGCATAAAGACCCGCCCCCTAGCCCCAACTCAGCACACCTCTGGGGGCCACCTACCTCCAGCACTCCCATGGGACTGGCTGAGGGCTTTTGGGGACCATTCAACTTCTCCCTTGCCCAAACCTGCTTCCTTTTCCCCTGTTCCACAAGCGTTGATGCCAAGGCTCTCCTTCATAAACATCCTGCACGGTAATCTCTTTCTCAGAATCTGCTTTCTGGGGAACCCTATCTGTGATATTATCACTAAATCAGAATCTGGCTCAAGGACTGCTTTTCGCATGGCTAACTCACACATTGTTCTTAAAGAGATTCCACTTTTAATCTCTCCACAAGACAAACTATTATTGTTATTTCAGTGTGTCAATTAATTATAAGGAGTTTACAAGAATGGGAAATATTGTTAAGTACCAAAGCATGGTAATGTTGTATCACAAAGAAAAGCTTTTCTTTGAATCACTGCCTAATACCAGCTGTATAATTCAGGAATGATATGTAACCTGCTGGAATGTTTCCACACCTGTCAAGTGGGGAATTTCTGCCTAAATACGTGCCTAAGATATGGAGTCTATGGAGTTCTTATTTAATAACATTTCTGTATATCGCCACCCACACTAAGTGGCGGTCATTAATAAGGACAAGAGGATTTAGTTATGGCTTACCTGGATCCTGAATGAATTTGCTTCTGTTTTTTGATAATACAGTTGATCTTTGAACAAATGCTGCCAGGACCATTGCCCTGCTTTCCACCCTCACCTCTTGTTCTTCTTGACACAATATACAGGTAACAAACTGTCTTTGTTTAGGGACTTGAGTTTGTGCTGGTCCCAATGCTGTAAGTGTCATATCTGAAATCATAGGGCTGCAATAAAAGGTTGTAAGTGTAATTAATGAGCCTAAGAAATTTCTATATAATCATAAAAGAGTAGGCTCCAGGTATGCACATATTGAACACATGGTTTTATTATTATTTTTTACTATATTAGTTTCAGGTTCCATACACATTAATGACTTCAATTGACAGAAGTCTTTCATATGAATCAAACCATCTCCTTTAAGCCTCATAGCAATCCAATATGCAACATAGAAGCCAGACACTGCGCCTAGTGTACTCACTCTTTTATGAATGTCAAGGGTCTTCTGTATAACATTATCATTTTAAGCATATGCATTAATGATCTTATCTACGGAGATATACTCATAAACATATACTAATAAACTCAGATTTCTAAGAGTCATTCCTCTATCTGGAGGTCACAAAATTTACCTATTAATCTTCTAAATTACTTTAGGATTAAAAGTGTATTTATAAGGAAAAAACCAAACTCTTTCTCAGCTGAGAATCAATGGTTAAGAGATTAAGCATTTTTCAGTTTATTTTTCTTTTCTTACCTATTATCAAGAACAGCAGAAGTGGAGACATCCAGCTCCAGTGTCTGCTGAAAGAGTTCTCTGTTCTCATCAATAAAGTGCCGCTGCATCTCCGACATTTGGGCCATGATCTTCTCTCTGCGCAGTCTGGCAATCTCAGCTTTTCTCTTCCTCTCGGCTTTGTCTTTGTCTCTTGGACTCTGAAATTATGCTTCGTTTCATTAGACCATCAGATACTATGCACACATTTTCTTCCCAAAGCAGAAATATCTTTATTGTAAATACAAATTAAAAACTATTCTGGGCCGGCCCAGTGGCTCAGCTGGTTAAGCGCTCACTCAAGAGTGTGAGCTCTGAGCAACAGGGTCGCCGGTTCGATTCCCACATGGGCCCAATCTGAGCTGCCAACAGGTGGCAGAATTGCTCAGCTAAAAAAAATAAAAATAAAATAAAATAAAAACTATTTTACAATCTCATGTATCTAAATAGAAAATTTCCTAATCAACCTAACAAGCTAAAAAAAAAGAAAAAAGAAAGAAAAAGCAGACCAAAAAGTGTGACAACTAATAAAAGCTAAATCATGGCATATTTCTTGAAATTTATACTTTTGGGAATAAAATCAACTATCAACCTATTGCAGATAAATTTAAATAGTGAACTTGCTACAATTTTTTATTATCACTCACTTCACTTCTTTTTTTTTTTTTTAAATTGGGGAATTGGGGGATGGGAACAGCACTGGGGAATTGGGGGAAGGGGAACAGACAAGTTGCTGTCGTTTTGTTCTTCAGTCTAGTTGTGGAGGACGTTGCTTCACTGGCCCAAGTTGGCACCATCATTGAGGAGAGGCAGATCAGTCGCCAGCTTCTGGATGGCCAGTCACGGCGGCTCTTGGCCGCTCACGCTAGCTGCTGGCTACACACGGTAGCCCATGGCAACTCACTGCAGCAGGGGCTGCAGCCTACCCCGTTGCTGGCGACTCACGGCAGCCCAACTCCAGGTTGAGCTGTTGTTCAGCATCTTAGCTGTAGAGGGCAGTGTCACTGGCCCCCATATGTGGGATCTGAACCGGGGCCCTTTGGCGTCCCAAGCCAGCTCTTAACCAACGCGCCAGTCTGCTGGCCCACCCACTTCACTTCTTATACCTCTTCTGTTACGGTGCCTTCTGTCTCTGCCACAGGACTGGAGGACGAACTCTCTCTCATTTTCTTAATAGTATTAAAAGTCTATGGAAAAAAGTATCAGTTATTCCAAAGTTATGAAACATTATCAAAATTTAAAGATAAATATTTAATGTTTCTCACAAAAAGCAAGAGTGATGTAGGAAATCTTACCTTTAATATCCACCTAATCATATCTTTGTGGACTTCTAGGTAAGGAGCATTTTGCAGTGTTTCCAGCATAGCTAGTATGCTAGGAGAGTTGTTTGGTGCTTCACCAGGTTCTAAGGTGGAAAAAATAAATGGCACAATAACAGCTAACGGTCCATAGTGATTACTATGCACAAGATAAATGAACTTGCTTATAACATCATTTGCCTATCATTTGATTACAGCTCTTCTTATTGAGATTTGCAGTATTTCTTGAGAATGTGACATGTGTACATCATAAATAAGTCATTAACAACTAGAATGCTTTAATCATTCAAAACTTATATCTGATACCAAATGATTATTTTAACATAGTCTCTAATTAAATAAAAACCCAGCTAAAAAGTCTACTTCAGATTTTACAAATCTAAGGAAATGAATTAGGATTACAGGGGTACACAGTGTATAAATATAACTTTTTGCTTTGATCTTTTCTTTAATAAAACCTAAATTAAAAAATAGAATTCCCTATAAATTATTTATTGGAGGAAAAGATACAAGTTGAGTCTGAAAAAAACAATCAACATAAAAGTCAAGTCCATATTTTCAAGAGTACATTTAATCCAATATTAGCTAATTTAGTTTTATAGCTGGAAATGTCCAATTGCTGATTTTCTTGATTTAGGTGTTATCATTCTGGCAGAATGTTCCTCTTTCCTCTAAGAGGGGAAAGAGATCTTTAATATTCTTCCAGATCTAAAATTCTGGAGGTATAAATTAGGGATCTGACTCTAAATAGTGTGTTTAAATTTTATAAAGTGTTTAAAGAGTAATATTGAGAAATATCCAGAGAAAATGATGATTGTTAAAAGAAAGGAATAAACAAAAAGCGAGAGAGAACCTGACTGTATAGTGATGAGTGAATGAGAGTAGGGAGTTTTCAGTGTGGTTATCCTAAAGCAAAAGCACTGATGATTGAAACAAAGGCAAAAGACAAAATGTTAATCCACAGGAAGAAATACAGGCAGGGAAAAGAGAAAGGCTGGCACCCAAGAATACATATAGTCTTTGGTGGGAAAAGGCAGTTTCCCTTCTCCCTCCCACTTAACTGGATGAGGGGAAAAAAAGAAAAACAGAGATCTAGCAGCACATAAGGACTAGTCCTCCCCACTTCCCAGCAGAACCTAGTATTCTCGCAGTCATTATCTTTTAGGAAAAGATGGCAAAGAACACGACACTGAACAAAGTTATAGAAATAATCCTTTGCAATCAAGGAATTCATAAACTTCTATTTTACCACCATAACTTCATTTAAACACCTCAGCAAATGGTTGGTTGCCGGTCTTTGTAAGATGAGCCTGGGGCATCTTCTGTGCCAGTAAGCAACTTGGTGCTCAGTAACTACTGGGGCTGGGTCAAAAGGACAAAGAAGCCAGCGGAACAGACTCCCCCCGACCAAAACTGGCACAGGTTGAGCATCAAAAAGAATACAGATTATAACTGACTATAAAACATCAAATAAATTAAAAAAAGAACCCAACACATTAAATAAATTAAAAACCCATGAGTAATATTAAAACAAAAACACTAAGCAAAAAATTCAGTCGCCACCACTGCAGGTAACTTTTAGAACAACTATTTACGCTGAAAATTATAAAGAAAAAGCTTCTCTTTTGAGGCAAACTATTATGATGTCTAAAACAAATGGTTAAAATACTAACTGCTGAATCTAGGTGGTAAGTATATGGATGCTTATGTACAACTTTCGACTTGTCTATATGTTTGATATTTTTAATAAAAAGCTAAAAAACAGAATTCCCCGGCCTTTAAAAAAAAGTCACAGTACTTTATACAAAACAATTATCTAATACTCTATATAAAGTCAATTTTCTTCATCCCAATGTTTTTTGTAAGATAACATCAACAATTTAAAGTGAAATTCTGATAGCATATTTTGTTTTAAAAAATTTACCCAAGTTTATAGTATATGCTATACTGATTTCAAACTAAGGATTCCTCACTATTTTTTCTATTTATGAATTAAAATTTATGTTAAGAGTGTATAGGCCCTAAGTATTTTTATAAAAATATGTGAAGATCTGACATAGTATCTTTAATACACAGATAAATATAAAGAGGTTCAGCAATCTGGATTGAATATAAACTATTTAGAACCTATGTATTCAAATAAAAGAGGCTAAATTACATTTTTATTTACTTTTAAAAATTATTTTATTTTTAAAATATTAGTTTCAGGTGTACAAAACAACGTAACAATTAGACATTTATACCCCTCACAAAGTGATAACCACCCCCCCAAGTCTACTATCCCTCTGACATCCTACGTAAGTTACATATCTAAAATTACTGATATCTTGAGTTAGTTTAGTAAAAAGTGTACACATACTTGATATCTTCTGAGTGAAGGTAAATGTCACTATATGTTCTTCTGTTACGTTCTCCAAATGCTGTTTTTCTTCTTGTAGTGCCATTCCAATTAAATGTAACACCTCAAATAAAATGTTTTGTAACTTTTAGTAAAATAAAAATCAAGTACATATTTTTATAAGAAATAACAAAAAAATTCACTATTAAAAAAGATAAATCAAACTATTAAAGACTACGTGCAAAAGAAAACAATTCGAAGTACTAATTTTTATTGTTTAAACTCTATTTCATTTTGTAATAAAGAATTACTCAGCAAGAGAATAATAATTTCTATTTCGGCTAGGAAGAAAATTCAATTGCAAATTCTTACGGTAAGTTAAAATTATTACCAGATGTGACCAGCAATTCATGTAATATATAATTTTCAGCTTTATTCTCTCCCTACACTACAGTCTTAAAAACATCTTTTAAGAATCAGTGGCCAAATAATTAGAGCCGAAAGCATCTATCACGTAATTATCTAGTCTATAATACTACCTAGTTTACTTTATCTTCCTATGGACTAAAACTCTTAATCATCCCAGAAAGAGACATACTTTTATCTCTAATGCCACATAATTTATAAAGATGTTCATAGTTCTTCAGTATATCTCACAAAAAATTCCTTACCAGACTTCTAAGGAAACATGTAACTACACTGAATTTATTTGCTTTTTTATTGCCCTTATCCTGCTCTCCTATTTTTGAAGGAGATACGTATGTTGTGTCGGTATCTTTCCCTACACATAGGGCTATTGTGGTTGTCAGACTTGGAAAAACTAGGTTAGCCTGAATAATGTAAAGCAAATGCATATACAAGGTAAACACTGTTCGCTCCTTTTTTTCTCCATCATTCCCCACAAATCTTCTGCGCATCTAACACCAATGGTCTCCAGTATACTAGAGTTCCCATACTTTTACATTTTAAGTGTTATGTTTATGAATGGGAGGGGGAGAGTGTAAGTATACACATGAGATACCTGAGCCTGCTGAGACATGGAAAGAACCGTAGCTTTGGAGGAAGGCCCTGGAGGAAGATTCTCCATTGGAATCCTGGCTTCACTGCTTTCAAGCTACATCCCTTTAAGGAATCCCTTTGAGCCTAATGGAAAAAACCCCAGCTTCCTTCCTGAGTTTTGAGGGTTACAAATACTGTACCTGTCTAGCACAAGATAAGGCACAGAGTAGGCTAATTCTATAAATTAAATAATTATGATGCTACTTACTAGTTGAGTAACATGGACAAGTTAGTTAACTGAATCTCACTGAAATGTGACTTCCTCACCTATACAATGGAAAAAGTTGTATCTACTAATAGGGGAATTCAATGAGATAATAATTTAAGAATGACTTACATTAAAGCTAAAAAGTAAAATACAAATAACGTTCTAGACTTGCCACTTACTAGTCATAGGACCATATGTCTCTTGAGTTTCGGTTTCAATTGAAAAATATGGGTACTGATGAACTCACAGGTTTTTTGAGAATTAAATGAAAAACATATGTCAAAGATAACACATTTTACAAATATAAGAGTACTGCATAAACAAAGACATAGTAGGACCAATCAATGAGAGGCAGATTGGCCAAGAGGACCACGGTAATCACAATCATGTATAAAATATCTGTCAGGCTCTTATTTTTTTTAATTTTAATTTTTTGGAATTAGCTGATTCATTTTATTTTTTTAATTTGTATTTTTTTTATTAGTTTCAGGTGTGCAAAGCAACGTAATAGACACTTACACACCTCACAATGTGATAACCCCTCTCCCCGCAAGCTACTACCCCTGACATCACATACAGATGTTACAATACCACTATCTTCCTTATTCTATACTCCACCTCCCGTGATGACATATATATAAATATATATATATATATGTTTAATTATAGTTGACATACAATATTATTCTACTTCAGCTTCAGTTGTACAGCTGCCAGGCCCTTATTTTCATTGTCAGACACAAAAGCAGTAACCATATACTATATTTCAAAATAAAGTAACACTACATTTGTCCTAAGTTCTCTGTGTACAGACACTGACAAGAATATTTTGGCTTTTACTAAAAAACACATAAATATGAAATGTCTTCAAACCTACTCTTTGCAGCATGGACTCAGACCAGGCATATCCATTATGTTCCACGGCCCACTGCAGTATCGTTCTCATGATGCACAACATGACATCTGACTGCAAAATGTTAACCAGACTTGCAAACAGAGGGCAGAATGGAGGCAAAACTGGAGGTGGAAGTGCTGAAAATAAAGTTATTATTGGTTTCTTTTGTAGAACACGTTTAAAAAACTTTCCCTTTAACAGATACTTCTGATAGTCTTCACTCAACGAATATTCATTAACACACATCTTAAAGCTGTGTTTTACCTTCTCAAGGTCAGTCACAAGCATTAAAAACAGCTACATACATAGCAGCGCGACAAAGAAAGGCTTTGCTTTTCCATAGAAATATCTTAAGATCTGAGAATAAATCCATTAACCCAAAGACGACTCCGTACAGACTATTTCTGGATTAGCATATGTATTAGTCCCGTGAATGTTCACTCAGAAAGCTTATATTCAAATCTTCTACTTCACCAAGGATAAACATCCTATTCAATAAAAAATGTTTAGTAAGTAAAGGAGTCTCACAGGAGATCTTAGGAAAGATTAACAATACCTGTATCTTCCCTATTTTGTCTTTTCAATTTCCGTTGGGCTTCCTCTGCCTAATAAGAAAGAAATTTGGACAGGCAATTAGTAATACCAAACAACCCAATATCCAAAACTACTGACATAAGTTCATCTTTGTCATGTTATTTTCAGTTTTTTAACCTTAGTTTTATAGTCACCCCAAAACTGACATATCAAAGTTAATTTCCCCTGCCCAAATCCCCCAAAAGGGTTCTTTATTGCTTTAAAATGCAGGGGAAACATGTACAAACCCAAACCAAAAACTTATTTAGGTTTGAGAGCTAAGATATGCATTAAAAACTAACACGTTCCATGTTTAAGTTTTGTTTAATGCCATTTACTGAAAAAAGTGTTCAAAGAATAGACTGCTAAAGGGCAAAATTTAACTAGCTAAGAATAACTAGGAAAACTGCATAAATCACTATGGAAAAGCACAATATTAAGTAGTAGCAATTTTAACGAGTGTAAAATGAACTAACTGATTATAATATAGGTTGACAATTTGTATTCAAAAGTCAGTAAAACACATACAATTATATATAAGTGGATATATATATATATGTATATGTATGTATATAATTATATTGATCTTATATATGTATGCACAAAATACTGGGGGAAAACCCAAAATATTATGTGGCAGTATTATAAGTAATCTGTACTTTCTTCTTTGTATCCTTTTACATTTTTCAAATTTCCTATGATAAAAACGTATCCTTTTTGAATCTGTGACAAGCAGTAAAAGTTTTTTGAGATAAAAACAAAACAAAACAAAGTTAAAAAACCCAACCCAACCCTTTCCCAGTACACTTTTTGTTTTCCCAATTACCTTGGACTGCTCTGCCCTTGAAAAGTGATAGAAATACAAATTGAACTCTTTGGCACACTCTGGTCTCAGTTCATACATGCCTCGTCCTGTTAATCCAGGTTTTCTATAGAAAAAAAAAAAAAAGGTCCTTAAAATATTATTAACGTCATACACTACTTCATTAGATAACAGAAGAAGAAAGCCAAGCTCTCGTATACTACTGATGAGTGCAAGCTGGTACTATTTTCTGTGGGTGAATTTCCCAATCTATGTCCAAAAGTTTATCTGCATCCATTTTATCTAGCACGTTCACACTTTGAGTTTATCCTAACTGGACAAGTGAATGTGATGGTCACTGTAGTGGCAACAACAATTCAAAGTCTAACAACAGGGAATAGGTTACACACACTATGAAATCTCCAAACAACCGAATACCATTAAAAGGAACGTTAACTTCTACATTTTAGACATGTAAGGATGCCTGTGGTTAAGTTCAAACAAGTGGAAAAAGCAGGGTTTAAAGAATCTTTTTATTTTAGGGTTTAAAGAATCTTTTCTATATATTTTTTCTGTGTCTTCTCTAGAAGCAAGTATTGTCTTTATAATCAACAACAATAAAGTCACTGCCATTGGGGTGGGGAGCAAGGGAAGAGCAGGATTAAAACGCTGCCTCAACAACCTTAAGTGGAGAAACTAATTTATTGATTGGGCAACACAATGGATGCCAGAGAAGGCAGCATTCAGAGGCCATCCCACAATTTAAGTGGCACATTCAAATGGAAACAATGAAACCAAGTTTAAGAAAGCTCAATGCACTTACTTAGCTCACCTGCTCAGGTTAATTTTCATTATCTGAAACTATCAGCTATGAACACCTATTCTGAATACAATGAAAATTCTCATAAAGCTACTTTAAGGTGCTGTGCACAGAGCTAGATAAAGTGAAAGTGAAAAATACAGTTCAGAATTATGTATTTCAAAATCTCTGTCAATGTCTGAAAGCAATAATTTTCATTCTCAGTTCCATAAAAAACAAACAAACAAAAAACCACAGAAAAATGTATAAAAAACCTGAATGTTAAAAATAGAAAGTAAACTCACTTGAAATGGGCAACTGCTTCAATGACATTCTCCATACCAGTCTCCTTGTTCTCCTAAAGGTATAGGAAACAAGTAAGTGTGTTTCATGTTAGTATCTGCCAGCACTCTGTGAGCATTGGGCTTTTTATCCCATTAGGCCTCCCTCACACAGCAATCCTATGAAGCAGATACACTGTTATCCCGGTATTTACAGATCAGGATTCTATAGTGAACGTAATGATTAATGTACAATTAGGGAAACTTATTTGGTAAGCTAACATTCATTCAGACTGATATAATTAAAATCAAGTCACTACCATAGGGAATCAAGGCGACAGCTTTCAAAAGAAATTCAATGAAAACTCAAAGTACACATCACATTTAAACAAAATTTATGTACTATATTGTAATATTTTGTGAAATAGTTATATTAATTTCTTATCTATTTTTAGCAACAGAATTTCCTAAATCGTATCATATCCCATGATAAGATGTTAATAGGAATACTGTAAATAAAGAATTGTCTGGTTAAAAATGGTGGGTAAATGTAGTTGCTATCACTTTATACAAAGCATATACCATTTTTAAAATGCGGTTTTACATTTTATTGTTCTTTATTTTAAAGTCTAAGTGATACTGTAATTGCTTCCTCATCTAATAACTCAGGATTCACTTCCTACGTTAAAAAGTACAAGTAATTTTTATCCTGAGTAGAGTTTACTGATATTAAGAAATTATTAATTATTGTTTTCTTAGGTATGATAATAGCATATGGACAGGTTTTCCTAAAAGCCCTTATCTTTTAGATCAGCTTCTCAACCTTGGTACTACTAACATTTGGACCAGCTAATTCTTTTTTGTGGGTGGTCTGCCCTGAGCATTGTGCAACTTTTAGCAGTGTCCCTGGCCTCTGCTTATGGGATGCCAGGAGCACCACACACCCTGCCCTGACTGCCAAAGGTACCCTGGGAGTGGGGGGTGGGGTGGACAAATCCATCCCTGGTTAAGAACCACTGTTTTAGGTATATACAACTTTGTTTACAGATGAAGTGGTAAACCTGGCATTCTCCACAAAATAATCATGTGGGGGCTGTAGGGATTAGTGGTTGGGGTACAGATAAAACATGACCAGTCATCTGTTGAAGCTGGTGATGGGTTCATTATGTTTTCTACTCCTGTAGATGTTTGAAATTTTTCATAATACAAAGTTTAAAAGAAGTATTATTATGCAACAATACAGGTTTAAATCCTAGAAGAATGAACATTAAGGTTGAAAGTTTTGATCTAAAAAATGTATACACATTTTAAGAAAGGAATAAACTATCAAAATTGTAATACTCAATAGGTACCAATAACAGAAGATGAATACAAGTCACGTGCATACATTTTTTTGCCACCCCCAGTGTGTTTCAAAATTGGGAAAATATTTTGAAAAGCCTCAATGAAAATAAAGTCCTTTCCCAACTTTAAGTTTTGGGTTTCTAAAAAGCCCCATGGCTGAAAAATTGGTGGGCTGAATACTTAATATTCCGGGAGGAAAAACAGTTACAATTAACTTATGAAAGCCCCTGTGAATATTATTTTACATTCACTATAATAAAAGAGATGGGTCACTGAACTAAGCACTTTTTGGATGCTTCAGAAGGAAAAAGCTCTGGAAAACTAGCTTTTTTTTTAAGCTGAGCCATCCCATCCTGCTACCTGTTGGCAGCTCAGCGGCTGCTCACGAACCGCTGTTGCTCAGAGCTCAAACTCTTGAGCGAGCTCTTAACCAACTGAGCCACTCGGCCGGCCCTCTGGAAAACTAGTTTACTCACTCCCTTTCTCTAAATACTCTACCCATGGCAACTTTGTACTAAAGACCCTATGACAACCCCTCTCTAATGGATACATATATTCAATCCCAAGGGCCGGTTTACTTTTACTCAGCATATGTATCTCTTGCAAGGTTTCACTGTAAATGTCTATTTATACGCTGCTTTCCACTCCCAGTCCCTAGTTTTCTTTTCAAATTATTTCCAATAGGCGTGACTAGAATTATGCATGTCCTAAAACTGTACTTCTTACAATTGTGGAAAAGGTATACAGAAGTAAATCTATACACACCAGACTGATAGGTAGGAAAAGATTTCTATCATTTTCTTTTAAAAAATGTAGGTACTTACATCTTCAGGTAAAGACTTTACCAATTCACTATGAGCCATAGGCTTGATGCTCAACTGATGGATAATCTCTCGCTTAATTTCATCTGTAGCTTTTACCTGTCCGACTCCAGGACTAAATCTCTCTCCTGTGAACATTGAAAAAGCATATACACACACACACACTTAACCTAAACACAATATTTACATGATAAATACTGATGAGGCATGCAACACAACATATTTTTCTTTCTGCGTAATGGAAAAGCAATGACTGGTCTGCAACAAGCTGGGGTGAGCAGCTCCCAACCACACTTCTGAGTCTCAGACACAATGGGTGAGTGCAGGCTTTAGGCAGTGGAGAGGCAACTCTGGTTGCAATTTTGAAAGAATGGGGTCAGAAGGTGGGAAGGGATTAGTGTAGTCAAGAATTGATAGAGCAGCAGTTGGACAAGTAGCCTAGGGAACTGCCTTCATGCCATCTGCCACATGTAGCAGGGAGAGAGCCTTCCTCTGTCCTATATAGTGGCAAATGAGATTATCACCTTCTGAGACCTCCTTCATTGGGATCACCTCCTGACAGTTGCCAGGAGTCTCTGTTCTATGGGCTGTAGAGAGTCTGAAATAGCAGGGGAGGTGGGAGAAGGTAAAGGATAAAAGAATAGGAAAGATGGAGGCAACAGGACTGAAAATGCAGGCAATAAGAAATCTGCGTCTATTAGCGATAGGTTTCTATTAACCTGGAATTATGATATTTGAAGTCAAGATGACACTTTTGCACCACAAAACCATGGAGGGAAATATAGATAAGATATAAAGTAACAGTAAATAGCTCCTAAATATCCTATTCTTGCTGGCTAAATTCTCCTGTTCCTCCTTTATTCCCCCAAAGTCTTTCAGTTTATTCTGCTTCAACAGTTGCACTCTCTCCTTTTTCCACAGTGCTGTTACACTCACCATTACAGTAACCAGAGGGGACAGAAGGATGGATGCGCTAATCTTCCCTTAAAACTGAGTGGCCACTCAAACAAAACAAGAAACACAGTTCAGAAATTCTGAACTATTTGCTACCACAAAAGCCAATGTAATTTATAAATGTCTCAAACAATCCAAACTTACCAACAAGCATTATAATGAGGTATAGCATTTCTTCTATTAGAGTATTGTTTTGCTGAACTACATCCTGTAACAAGTGGGGGGGAGATAAACTTCAGAGATAAGAATATAAATACCGTATTATTTCAGATGATTAACTTAACTCCAAAGAATGAAGGATGCTTCTTTAGTGATGTGGTGTGGTTTCATAAAAATTGCTCTTACCTTATGGGTAATCTCAGAACTGAATCTTTTTCCATAGTCTGGAGAACTGAAAATCTGATAAAGTTCAAAGCGGCTGAGCATTATCATCAGGAAATGATTTGGATCCATCATGGAGACACCTGTCTTTTTTTTTTTTTGAGATAATGGAAAAGAGGAAGGTCAAAAAAACTACTAAACAATTAGAGATATTTTCGTTTGCATATGAGAAAGCAGCTTGGTGGTTCACCAATCCCAATAAAAGATGGAAACCCATTTAGCCACAATCTCTACTTGTGGTAACTATAAGTATGGAGAGGAACCTAAGCTGGTAAAACAAAACAAAGCATATACAAAACCCCCCTAAATACACACATCAGAATAAAATGGACTAAAGGTTCTCTTTTCTTTTAATGTTTTGAATTAATTGTATCCCTCTGAATTCAGTTCTGAAGTTTTATTTCAGGGTTCTCTTATCACTGTCTGGTGTACAGACTCTGAGAGAAACGTGGTATGGCAATTAAATCTCTGGTATTTTTTATATAAATCATATTAAACTCTTACCAAGAACTCTTACACTAATTTTTGGTGATGAACACTACACTAACTGAAGCCACAGCTTTTAAATATTTAATTCTTCTTTAATTCCCCTTGTACAAATCCCAAATCAACTTGGTTTTAATTTATTTTGAACCAATAATTTTTTTTTGAGATTTACATTTTGTGACTTTTACAATAATTTCTAAATCCATTCAGCAGAAACATGGAAAAGCTACTATGTGAAAAGAAAGCATTGTGCTATGCACAATACACAAAAAAGGAACAAGATGCAGTTGGCATGTTTTAGCGGAGGGGATGGAAAGTAAACAGGCAAGCACGACCAATAGTTATTAATATTACGGTGACAAGAAGTACCACACTATGGGCCTGCCCAAAAAGGGCACTTAGCCACGATTTGGTGTGTCAAGGAAGGCTTCCTGACCAAATGACACTAAACTAAACACTAAGATATGCAGGAAGATATGTTACTAGGCAACTGGAAAAAGAAGGGGCTGGGTGGGCAATGTAGGGAGCAAAAGACATAAGTGTGCAGAGTTTAAGACTTAAGAAAAAGCATGGCAAACTCAGGGAATTTTAACATCGTTAAGTATCACAGGCCTTGAAAATCAGTTTAAGGGGTTTGGGTCCTCAACCTGAGGACAATGAAGAAAGGATGGCATTCAGGTTTCTGACTCTAACAACTAGACAGGTTGTTGAACAATTCACTAAGGTAGGGAATCCAAGATAGGAAGAAGGTATGGAGGAAGAAAGAGGAGTTATTTCGAATATGGGAAATCTGAGATGTGTCCAGAAAATCTAGATGGAAGAGTTCTATAGGCTGTTAGCCATGTAAGTTTGGAGCTTAGTAGACAGGGTTAGACTGGAGTTACAGATCTGGGAGGGGTGATTGATTGTAAGTGATTGGAGTCTATGGAATTACCAGGAAGAACAACACTCCCCACACTTTTAAGTTTAATGCTTTTAATTCATTACCTGAAGCATTATTATATCCTTGTCAAACATTTCACGCCTGCATTTCACATTATGGTAGTAATAAATCTAAAAAAAAAAAGAAAAAATTTAGAGTGAGTAAATAGGTTTTTATTTGTGCAGCTCCCTCCTCCTTCACCCCGCAAAAGAGCACACGGGTTTTGGGTGAGTGGGTGTGCATGCATGCGGCACACCATGTTCTTTCTCCAATAGTTATAATATCTTAGTAGAGATTAATTAGGAATTTCCAGATTACAGGGTTACTCCATGGTTCGTATTTTGCATCCAACTTTCGGGGCCTCTCAACAAAGGCTTATAGCTAACAAAAATGAGAAAAAAACCTATACCAAGCCTTGGTGAGGTTTAAAAATTAAAATCTCAATTTCAGAACTATACTAACAGAATTTTAATCTTTTAACCCAATTTAGGTAGATAAAATCTGAATTTTTATTTTATTTTTTAATATCCAACTTTGTTTCAAAAATGATTTCAAGTGAAAATCAAGAAATTAAGTGTATTTCTATCTTTGATATTGTTTCTTGACAAAGTTGAGGAAAAGCTCTAAGAAACATTTTGGTTTAACATATTTATTGTCTCAAACAATTGTAATATAGATAACTCAACTTTCAGTTAGTAAATATACTGGAAATTACATCCTTCATAGAAGCCAAGAAATGGATTAAAAACTCTCCATAGAATTAAAGAACACGTACCTGGTTTACTAGCGAGAATCCGTTTCTTCTCCACATTCCTGCATGTACTTGGGCACACAGAACAAGACATCTAAGAGGGTGTTCTATTAGCATAGGTGGGCTAAGTTCACTCTGTATATACAAAACAAACACAAAATTCTCAACTTGATAAAATGATTGAATTACATGTAAGCTTTAAATAAAGCACAAGTTAAAATTATTTTAAGGTATATTTGTGTGATGGTAAAATTATGTGTCAACTTGGCAAGGCCGTGGTACCCCGCTTTTGATTAACACCAGGCTAGATGTTGCTGTGAAGGTATTTGGTAGATGTGATTAGTATTTAAATCAGTAGACTTTGAGTAAAGCAGATTACTCTCCATAAAGTGGGTGGGTCTCATTCAATTAGCTGAAGGCCTTAAGACAAAAGGCTGAGGTCCCCCCAAGGTTGCCTTTGGACTTCAGGCTGCAACATCAACTCTTCCTTGGGTCTCCAGCCTGTCGGGCTGCCCTGCAGGTATATTTCTGACATGCCAGGCCATATACCTGCATGAGCAAATTCCTTACAGTAAATCAATCTCTTTGTGTCTCTCCCTCTCTTCATACATACACGTGTGCACGCACGCGCACACACACACACACACACACACACACACACACACACACTCTCTATGGTTGTTTCTCTGGAGAACCCTAATAAATGTTGTTTCAAAGTGATTTCAAATACATGCAATGTAATACATATGTATTTACTTTTAAAGTTAGTGCTACTTACTAGAGGTAGGAGCTCCGGAAATTTGTATGCCACTTCACTTTTGCTTAATAATACATGCAAACCTGCATGGGAGAACAAACAAAAATGTATTTCTGTAAGTGAAAATAATTTAAGAACAAACAAACAAACAAACCCTAAATACTCAGTTTTATATCTAACGTATTTTCTCTTTCTCTTTGGGAGCCTACCATGTTACAAATTAAGATATAAAATGAATTGCATCCAAAAATGAAGCTTTATTCTCATGAACCTCTGTGTCAAAGGCACATTTAGAACTAGAGTCTTAATTACATGTACGAACATACACTGATCACATTTTATGGAAGTAAACGTTAGACATACAAACATAGCAAAAGCAGCTATTATAACTATCAAAGCAATTTATACATGTTATGCCAACTTTAAGAATCATATTTCAGTGGGCCACAGAGTTTGTTCCCATGTAAAGTATACTAGTGAAAGATCCTTCTGGCAACTGAACAGAGAAACTGGCTTTCATTGTATTGATCCTGACCTCAGAATTCAGTTCCCAGAATTCCCAGTTTAGGGTAAAAGCTTCTTTAGTTCCTAAATACAAGGGGCTCTTTTATAGCTAAACCTCGGTTAATTCTGTTAACTAAGAATTAAATGTCCTGTTTATGTTGCTGTCTATACACAAAATGCTTTTTAGTCTTCATCTATAAATGCCAGCCACTTGGTCATGCCTGGTTTGAGGCTTTCCTCATCCAAGAACACCTGCATCATGAATCCCATTCTAATAACCTGAGCTTGGCCTTTGCCACTCAAGCTCCATTAGCACACACTCCAAGCCGTTCTGAAGTTGTTTTGTGTACGTTGATTTAGCTCTCCAGTTAGATAATAAGCATTCAGGCCACGCCTTGTCAAACAGTGAAATAGAATGCTCAAAAATGTCCATTGAGAAGAGCTGAGGGAAATAAAGACCTGGCAGAAATCAGCCCATTTTCAAAGTATTGACTATTGTCCCTGTGGGTAACTATCGGCATCAGTTTCCACCTGTTCAACCAGACAGGACCCACTTCCCTGCATGCTAGTTCAATACTTTTCCACAACAGCATGCTGCAATTTGCCTGTGTTGAGGATCAACAGTTCAGGATGCTTAAAGCACTTACAAAAACAAAACTGGGCCTGAACAAGTTATCGGAGTTAAAAGATTTCCTGTAGTCATAACTTGGTTTCGGGAACTCATTTGTTGTCCTATTGATATTCAGATGTCTAGTTTATGTTAAATCACCACAATTTCAGTAACAATCCAAAAGTTAGAATGCTATCAGCAGGACAATGTGATAATGCTCAGACAATGGAAAAAAATATCTTCAGAAATGAAAGTGGGATCATTACTACTGACCCCATGGAAATTATTAAAAGGATAAAATAGGAATACTATGAACAACTCTAGGCTCACAAGTTTGATAACTCAGATGAAATGGACCAATTTCTTGAAAGACACAAACTGCTAAAAACTCACACAAGAAGAAATGGATAACCAGAACCAGATTGTATCTATTAAAGAAAGTGAATCAATAATTAAAAACCTTCCAAAATGGGAAGTATCAGGTTCATATGGTTTCACTGGTGAATTCTACCAAACATTTAAGGAAGAAATAATATCAATTCTCCACAATCTCTTACACACACACACACACACACACACACACACACACACACACACACACACACACACTTCANCACACACACACACACACACACACACACACACACACACACACACACACACTTTCACATCATATTAAGTTACTGAGCTACACACTTAAGATAAATTACAAATTGTGCAATGAGTAAAAATATCTACCTTTAGAACTTCTCTTTTCTACTCTGAAACTAACTGGAACTAAAAGGAACAATACTATGTAAGTAGGACAAGAATTCTTGAAATCAAGAAATATGGAAGGAAGCTGTACTCAAATGAGTCTGCAGAGATGGACAAGCGCACACTCAAAGTTTTTGGCTGCTGCAAGGTGGCAGCTTCAACAAATATTCTATCAAGTATAAACGGCTTGTAAATCAACTCTTAACAATGAAAAACTATCACCCCAATTTGAAACTTACTCTTGACCTGTTGCTTAAAAAGGTTATCAATAAATGATTAAGAAACAGCTGAGAGTGAGAGAAAATCTAGGGTGGTTTCAATTTATTAGCAATCACTTTGAATTGTAACATAGACTTTGAAGCTGGGTTGAGTTAAACAAGAAAACATGGACCTACATTTAAGTCTGAACAACCACTATGGTACCGTCATTATAGGGCTGCTGGTGCCAAACCACCTCAGAAATCCTAGTCTGACTCTTTCTTGTTGTGTGACACCACACAAATCACCTCTGTGCTTCAGTCTTCCCATATGTGAAGCAAACTTAATTATAATACCTACCTCATAGGCCAATGTGATGATTAAGTAAGTTAATGCATGTAAAACTCTCAGAATAATACGTGGTAAGTATTCAATACATATTAACACAAGTCAATTTAAAAGATAATTTCAGGGTCCTTTTTGGGGAGAAATACTTTACCTGCAAGTAAGCGAGAAACTGGGAGGTGAATGCTAACTTTTTCTTGGGAAACACAGTATCTGATAGTTTCCACTGAGTGTCCACAAATGCTTAATGTGATGGGCTGTTCACCGTCAGTAAAACCACCGTGACACTGCATCAATACAGCAAGGCATTTCTTGTAAGCTTCAATTAACACTTTTTCCTAAAAAAGAGGGTTTTCTGTAAGTTACTCGAAAGGCTGGGTTTCTACAACATTGAATCAGCACCTCAAATTCGATGATGAGTAAGCACCTCAAATATCAATACAGGCAAATCAATCTCAAGATTCCCTCCCCAACTTCCAGTGCCCGGTCTTAGTGAACAACGTCTCTGTCTGTTGTAGAAATCTAGAGGTTATTCCAATACCTGCCTTTCACTCATTCTCCATTGTCTGATCTATTACCAAGCTGGTAATTTCACCTTCGAAATTTTTCTCAAACCTGGCCACTGACTATCGCCAGTAACCCAAAGGAAAGCCAATCAGCACTCTACTCAATTCCCTGCTTCTACTCTTGCCCCCTGCATTCTCCACACAGAGCAATTTTTAAAAACTTGTAAACTGGATGTCACTTTTCTACCTGGCAATCTCTAATGGTATCCCACTTCAATTAGAATAAAATCCAAACTTTTATCCAGGGCCTCCAAAGCCCTGCAAAGTCAGCCCCCACCCACTTTTCTGTCTTCCACCTCTACGCTCCAATCAGAGCCTTCTCACAGCTCTCCTAATGACCATACTCCTGGTCACAAGAGCATGATACAACTGTTCCTCAGTCAGGAATATTCTTTACTCTTTGATCAGTTAACTCGGACACATAGTTAGGTCTGATGGAAGCCTTCTCTGACCTCCTACCGTATATAGGCTCTCATCTCGAGTTTATAGCTAAAACAAGGATAAAATAATTTTAAGACATAGGACAAATGTACCAATACTAAAACTTCATTTTTGGATACATTTAGAAACTGTTCTTTTCATATGTTCAAAATCTAGATGGGATTATGGAGAAAAATGAAGTAACATAAGAGAAAGAGAATATGGATTATTTCCTCCTCTATTTTCCAGATTTTTTTAAGGCTCCAGAATTGTATCAAATTTATAGGTGAAAGAGGAAAATATACTGTTTTATGAGCTAAGTACAGTATCACCACTATCTTCTCCAAATCTCAAAATTTATTTAGAAATCAGTTTATTCCCTACTCCTCCATTTATCTCCTATCCCTCACCCCTAGAAGAAACTCACATCTAAAGCACACCAGTCCTGCATCATTGAAATGACATGTGTCAATTTCATTTGCAATGTGAAGGCTGCTTCCCACTCTGGTTCCATTTCAATATGCTGTCCTACTTGACGTGTAATTGGATCCATTCCCTTAAAGAAAGTGAAAAGATTTTAAATTAATTAAAATTATATTTTTCCTCTTACACAGAAACTTAAAAAACATGTAAGTCTTAACAGGAAGCTTCAAGTAGCATGAGAAGCCCAACTTCTTAAATTACATGTTTTGTTTATCTAACATTCTTTAAAATATTAAAAAAAAAAAATCCCAGTGAAGTATATAACAAATTATTTTAGAGGCAATCTTCTATGTTTTAGACAATAAAATGAATACTTTACTGCAACAATCCTTCAAATTTCTTTTAGCTCTATCATCTATAGAAAAATTATTTTTAAAAATTTGACAAGCTCTTAAAATGTTATTGAATTTATAAATATATTTTATAATATACTAGAACAAAGTTTTAAAATTTATTCCTAATCTGCAACTAAAAGTTTTCAGAGACTGCAATAAAAAGATAAACAAATTTTAATACAGAAGAATATCACTTTTTACAAACTAGCCTAACTACTCTTTGTGTTTCAGAACCGATTAAATAATAGAAAATAGAGGACACTCTGAATATTCAAACTGACCAAAGTAGATACTGTTTCTGTAGAAAATAAAGTCCCTGCAATGGTATTGGAAAAACAGACACACAGACCAATGGAATAGAATTGAGAACCCAGAAATAAACTCACATAAATATGGCAGACAATTTTCAACAAAGGAGCCAAAAGCACACAATGAAGAAAGCTTCTACAATAAATGGTGCTGGGAAAACTGGAAAGCCACGTGCAAAAAAATGAAAGTAGACTGCGACTGCTATCTGTCACCGTGTACCAAAATTAACTCAAAATGGATCAAAGACCTAAACATAAGACCTGAAACAATAAACTGCATAGATGAAAGCATAAACTTATGGATCTTGAATTCAAAGAGGTTTTTATGAATTTGACTTCAAAGGCAAGAGAAATAAAAGCAAAAATAAATGAATGGGACTATATCAAACTAAAAAGCTTCTGTACAGCAAAAAAAAAACCATCAAGAAAACAAAGAAGCAACCAACAGAATGGGAGAAGATATTTGCAAAGAATGCCTCCAATAAGGGGCTAATATCCAAAATAAAGAACTCATACAACTCAACAATAAAAAACAATCTAATTAAAAAACGGGCAGAGGACCTGAACAGACACTTCTCTCAAGAAGACAAAATGGGATCGGCCCAGTGGCTCAGTTGGTTAAGAGCTTGCTCAGGAGTGCAAGCTCTGAGCAACAGGGTGGCCAGTTCGATTCCCACATGGGCCAGTGAGCTGCGTCCAAGCTGAGCAGCCAACAGGTGGCAGGATGGCTCAGCTGGTGAGAGCACATGCTCCTACAACAAGGTTGCCTCTTTGAGATGGTGGGCTATGCCCACCCAGATAGCTCAGTGGATACTGTGAACCATATGACTTCACTTATATGAGGGATATAAAGTTGAAAGAAATTAACGAAAGAGACAAACAAAAAATCATAGACAACAGTTTAGTGGTTACCTGAGGATACTGGGGGTGGGGAGTGGTAGAAGAGGGTAAAGGGGATCAAATATATGGATATATGGTGATGGAAGGAGAATTGACTCTGGGTGGTGAACACACAATGCAATATATAGATGATGTATTATAGAATTGCACACTTGAAACCTATATAATTTTTCTAACCCATGTTTTCCTAGTAAATTTAATAAAAATTAAAAGAAAAACCCCTGCAGAACATAGAAGTATTATAATAAATTAAATGCCCACCACAAATTACCACTCAACACAGGAACTAGAATATTTTCTAAACGTAATAGGTCAACTTTGCTTATTTCTTTCTTAAGAAAGTCAGATAGATATTGAAGGAGTCCCAATGGTACTGCTCAGATTTTTTGATATGTCATCCATCTTCTTATAGTTAAAACTGGTTAAATGTGCCAGTTGGCTTCTGCTTCTAGAGTCTATTTTGTATATGGGGGGTGTTTGCACAAAAGATTTAAACAGAGGGGAAAAGTTCTATATTATATAAATAGTACATCAAGGAAAAAAAGATGAAAACATTAACCCAACATTATAAATTTCTTAAAATAACTGACAATACTTCCATGTAAGCATATTAAAAAAAATAAACTTGCAATCCCCAGACAAAGTATGTTAATGGTAACCAAAAGAAAAACCAAATACAAAAGAACAGTAGATGCCAGAACCTTTGCTGGGAACTCATTCGTTCTACATCTTTCTAAGAGCCTCCAATTAAGGAGGAGCTTCTTGGTCCAAATTGTAGCCACCCAAATCATTCTTTTGGAAGTGTGCCCCAAATGAAATAAATTCATAGACAGAAAGGTGTTCAGATGAGTGAACAATAACAACGGAAGAAAGAAAAGTGAGTGTCTCCCTTTTGAAATGTGTCTATTTATACATACCTGCATACATTTGAGTAATTCCAAAAAGGCATCAAATCCTTCTAGAAACTTCTGCCTCAGATCATCTGACCATTCAGTTGGTTTGCTAATTAACACATACCTGAACAAGATAAAAATAGCAATGAATATATGGATAAACACTGACATTTTACAAGTTGCAACTGGTTTAATAATTAAACAAAATCTTACTTGAGGTCTAAAATAAGGCTCTGAACTCTCCTAAATTTGAAGGCTTGTAAAGCTGTATATCGTTCAAATTGAAATCTGCCCTGGGAATCTCGATGTCTCAAATGATCCATAAATGTCTTAATAATAATGGTCATTAGGTTTTCTTCTGTGATGAGCATCCGAGCCTAGAACAAAGTGCATCAGAGTACATGGTAATCAAAACCTATTTAGTAGAAAGCTAAAAAAAGTCAGCAATATCAGTTGGCTCTTCCAGTTTAAACCTTTTCAACACTATTTAATATCATAAATGCATTACTGTGTATTTCTAAATAACAATTACTTACTCCAATTGCCACTTGTATGAAGTAACAATTATTATCACGGAGAAAGATGCCAGAATGTTAGGAGACAGATCCAAGGTTCATTATTCAAAGACAATTCAGGGTGGGGGTTCTGAACCAGGCTGCAAATTTTCCTTAACTCAGACATTTAGACACCTACAATGGTATAGTATAATTATTCTAGGTTTGTATCACAGATTCTGTAGAACTCAGTATAATAAGTGTATTTCCCCTTAATCTTCTTGAGATTTATTTGTTTCTATGTATAGATATACATATCTACATATTTTTGAATAAGCAAATATACTTAAATGACACAAAAATAACAGGTAAAAAGTAGTCTCCTAGCTACTGGGATCCCCCTTGCAAAGGCAATTTTTGTTAGCAGTTTTCTTGCATATTCTTCCAGGGATGGTGTGTGTAAAATAATAAACACATATATACACATATGTATATACACACATGTATACACTTATAATACATGGAGAAAGTGTTATTAAGGAGATATAAATATGGATGTGTATAATTATATCTATTTTTCCCCCCAAAGGATAGCATATTATAAATACTGTTCTGCACTTTGTTGTTCACTTAATATACTTCAGAGATTGTCCCATATCGGTTTATATAAATTCCCTTACTCTTTTTAACTATCACCAGGTATTCCATAATATTTTATTTAACTAGGTCCTTACCGGTGAGACATTTGGGTTTTCCCCACTCTTATGCTATTTATTACAAAAGATGCTGTAACAAATATGTACTGCAAGGATATGTATAGAATAACTTCCTAGAAGTGGAGTTACTACACTGAGGTGTATGTACATTATAAATTTTGACTAATAGCACCAAATTGTCCCCTCAATTTATATGTCCATCTACAACATGTGCCTTTCCCCTCCTGACCTCAATAACACAACATGACTCCAAACGTTTTTTTTTTTTTTAAAGATTTTTATTGGGGAATTGGGGGGATGGGAACAGTGCTGGGGAATTGGGGGAAGGGGAACAGACAATTTGCTGTCATTTCGTTCTTCAGTCTAGTTGTGGAGGACGTTGCTTCACTGGCCCAAGTTGGCACCATCATTGCGCTCTTCCCGGGTGAGGCACATCAGTCGCCGGCTTCTGGACGGCCGCTCACGACGGCTGCTGGCCACTCACGCTGGATGCTGGCTACATACAGTAGCACATGGCATCCCACTGCCACAGGGGCTGCAGCCTACGCCGTTGCCGGCAACTCACGGCAGCCCAGCTCCAGGTTGAGCTGCTGTTCAGCATCTTAGCTGTGGAGGGCAGTGTCACTGGCCCTCATATGTGGGATCCGAACCGGGGACCTCTAGCGTCCCAAGCCAGCTCTTAACCATTGCGCCACTCGGCCAGCCCAACAACTCCAAACATTTCAATCTTTACCATTCCGATGCTTTTAATTTACATCTTATTATAAATGAAGTTGAACTTCATAACAATTTGCATTTCCCTTTTCTGCTCCATAATAAAGTCAGAAGGTCTAATAATACTTTGAATACATTATTACTGATATTAAAAATCATGGATTTCCCCTCGCTTTTATAGCCTAACTAGGTTCCAGGTTGTTAGTGGTGTGGGGTGACTATTTAACCATGTCTTACATTAGTCAATATCAGGTAATTAATTAGAACTATAGAAAGTTGCACCAAAAAGTAGGACAAAAAAATGCAAAAAATAAATCTAAGAATATGGTAAAGTCGTATTCTAATGTAGAGATTAAGTTCTAAGGTCATCAGATAAGGAGAAAATCTATATAGTTAAATGTACCTTTGAAAAACTTAAATAATCATCACATTGCCATGATTTAGGCCCCAAGAAGCTCAAAAGTCAACAGGATTGATTAATGGCTGTTAATTTTCCTAGACAGTGAAGAGTAAGGTCAAGTTTGAAGGAGGGGAGGTGTTAACAGGTAAAAGGACTTTCCTTTTCGTTTTTGTTTGCTATATTAGTTGATTTTGATGAAGTTAAATGAGTATAATGCAATTTCACTAACCTAAGGAAAAACTCTGTAGAGCTTGCTTGAAAGACTTACAACAGAAGTAAAAGAAAATTTGAAGAGACAATTTAATATTGGTGGAATGTAAATCTCATCAACCAAGGCACTTTTTTTTTTTTTTTAGCTGAGCCATCCTGCTACCTGTTGGCAGCTCAGCGGCTGCTCAGCTCGGGCCGGGACTCGAACCGCTGTTGCTCAGAGCTCAAACTCTTGAGCGAGCTCTTAACCAACTGAGCCACTCGGCCGGCCCAAGGCACTTTTTTTAAAAAAAGATTTTATTGGGGAATTGGGGGGAGGGGAACAGACAGGTAGACAAATTGCTCTTTTGTTCTTCAGTCTAGTTGTGGAGGACATCGCTTCACTGGCCCATGTTGGTATGATCATTGTGCTCTTCCCGGGTGAGGCAATCGGTCGCTGGTCATTGGTCGGCTGCTCACAGCGGCTCACGGCAGCTCACACTAGCTGCCGGCCGCTCACGTTGGCTGCCAGCCACTCATGTAGCTCATGGCAGCCCACTGCAGCCCTGCTGCAGCCTACGCCGTCGCCGGCGACTCACGGCAGCCCAGCTCCAGGTCGAGCTGTTGTTCATCATCTTAGCTGTAGAGGATGAGCGTCACTGGCCTTCAATGTGGGATTCGAACCGCAGCCCTGCTGCACAGAGCTGGCGATCCCAAGTGAGCTCTTAACCAGCTGAGCCACTCGGCTGGCCCAACCAAGGCTCTTTTTAGCAATTTCAGTTTCAGATAAATGTTAAAAGATGTGGTTCATCCACTGTATAGTCTGGGCTTTACTGGGTGCCAAATAAAAGAAATCAATAGGGTGGCCCATTAACACTATCCCATTAAAGTAGGGAAGTTATTCAGGCATTTCTACTTCTAAAAAGATAACTAAAGCAATCACATTTTTCCAAGGTTACAAAAGAAAAGAAAAATAAAAAACTTTAAATGCTTGGCTTTATCATTTCATGCCCAGATTGTTGCTAACCTTGTTTCACGGTAATTTTCAACATTAAATATCTAACATTATTATTATTATTATTTTAATTGGGGAGTTGGGGGGATGGGAACAGCACTGGGGAATTGGAGGAAGGGGAACAGACAAGTTGCTGTCGTTTTGTTCTTCAGTCTAGTTGTGGAGGACGTTGCTTGACTGGCCCAAGTTGGCACCATCATTGCGCTCTTCCTGGGCAAGGCAGATCAGTTGCCGGCTTCTGGACAGCTGCTCACGGCGGCTGCTGGCAGCTCACGCTGGCTGCTGGCTACACACGGTAGCCCATGGCAACCCACTGCAGCAGGGGCTGCAGCCTAGACGTCGCTGGTGACTCACAGCAGCCCAGCTCCAGGTTGAGCTGTTGTTCAGCATCTTAGCTGTAGAGGGCACTGTCATTGGCTCTCATATGTGGGATCCGAACCGGGGCTCTCTGGCGTCCCAAGCCAGCTGTTAACCATCGTGCGACTCGGCCGGCCCTCTAACATTATTTTTATACAGTTCTAGTACTTATCACCCACCGTAAAAAAATTACTTGATTTTTTTTTTTTTTTAAATTTAGCTGAGCCATCCTGCCACCTGTTGGCAGCTCAGCTTGGGCCAGGAATTGAACCGCTGTTGCTCAGAGCTCACACTCTTGAGCGAGCTCTTAACCAACTGAGCCACTTGGCCAGCCCCAAAATTACTTGATTTTTATGCCTACAATTCACTTTGCTTCAAAATACATTCTTGCTACTTAATTACAGTTTTTATTCATTTTATGTAATTCATATTTAATTTTGTGTTACAAGGCTCATTATATATCTAACAGCACATTCAAAATGGACCCAATTCTTCCCTAAGACTATGAAAAACTTCACTGAGTAATAATGGCCTATGCACATAGTTTTAGTTAAATTAAACATGAGAGAGCATACAGGGATAACGCTAACTATAATGAGGGCACACTATATAAAATAAATGAGAATGAGAAAGATACTCTAATCACTTGAATTATTGTTAGTACGTTCTTGACCAAACTATTTCAAAATGAAGATTGGGTTAATTGTAAGGTAATTCTGATTCAAAAGGTACCAATAAACGAGATTCTATTACTGCTATAAAACATTTCACTAATCTAGTGCAAGTGATTTTTAACTAAGGATGTGCATAAGAATTACTAATGGTGCTTTTTCAAGAAACTATATATGTACTCTTCTGCTTCCAGCCATGATGGAGTAGCTTGAGGTTGACCAACATTTCCACCAAAAAAACTAGAAAAGGTCAGTTAAAAAAAAGTTTGGAATCCTCCGAGTTGCTGAGGCAACAAGAATTTGAGGGGCTAATACTACGGAGAGAAAGGGAATGGCACAGGTGAGCCAACATTCTGCAACTGCTTTTCCCTCAGCATTGGACTCTCCTGGGAGCAGGGCAAGATGGAGCTTGAAGATCCTAGGATTGTGACAGAGCTGCTAATAATAGGGAGAAAAACCTGTTGAGATTTTAGCCATTCCAAGGTGTTGATGAGGCCAGGATTCCAGTAAGAACAGAAGGATGGGAACCAGGTCCAACTTTCTTCCAGTTTTCCCCTCAAGACATTTGCAAAATTCTGAAGCTATGCAGGATAGAGGTCTAAGAGGAGCAGAAGGCCTAGAAGAGCAAACAGTGATGTGGCAGTGCTACCAAGTGAGGAAATGAGACTGGAATTCAGGACCCTATAGACGGGAGAACTCGAGTAAACACTCAGGTTCTAAACTGGAAACCCTTACACGGTTATATCCCAGGGGTGAGGATGAATCAGAGAAATGCAGTCTTGCCAAAACAACATGGAGTCATGTCAATTTCTGATCAGACT